TGCCGTTGTAACTTCGAACAATCACTAAATGAACTTTTGTAAGTCGAGGACTACCTGTACAGTGTTACACCTTTCATACCTGGTATCGGGGGTCCTTGGGATGGACTGCAACTGCTGTGTCTCCCAGCATCGTCTCAATACGGGTGGTAGCCACCACCACTTCCTCATCTATCAGAAAAAATGGACAAGGTTGACGGATGACCAGCGACAACCAAGGGTCAAGCTCCAGATCCTAAACTGTTCAACCATCTGCCAAGAACGTCATACTAAACCTGAGTCCTCCATCTTGTAAGCGAAGGAGACCAGCACTCCAAACTCAACCTTCTCTTTGTAGCCCGGGACAGGCAAGAGGGTCCGGCCTGTTAATTCCTTCTTGTCCACCTGGGAGGAAGGAGACAGGAAGCTGCATCGGATCAGGGTCCCTTAGCCAAACGCTGGTACAGGAAATAGGTCACTCTATCCTAATCACCTCTATGTCAGAAATGGCCGAGTTGAGAGTGCAGGACCAATTGACCAGACGTTTGCTTCGATAGATGATCCCTTTCTCGTGCAATTGGATAAAGGCTTCTTGGACGGCATAGGAGAGTTTCTGTTGGCGATACAAGAACACATAAAAATGCCATTCTCTTCCTGTGGTCCGCATGACAAAAGGGGTTGCTTTTGCGTTGTGTTGAAAAATGGCTACCATAGCTGGGTTTCCCTTCCACCCTACGACGGCAATTATTCTTCTCCATTCTCTGAATTGTGGGGTGGCAATGCACCATTCACGGGCCGTTTAGAACAGAGGTCCCCAACCCCTGGTCCGTGGACCAGCATCGGGCTGCGGCATGCCAGAAACCAGGCCGCGCAAACAAGTGAAGCCCCATCCGTGGGACGCAGGAGGCACACGAAACCACGCCCACCCCCTCTGGTCCACGGAAACACCTCTCCATGGAACCGGTCCCTGGTGCCCAAAAGGTTGGGGAGGGGGGCGCTGGTATAGAAGTTCCAGTGACTTCCAAAGCACAAACATGGCATTGTTGAAAATTGACAGCAAAGGCCAATTTCCAATTTTTATTTGTTTGGTGTGTTATTTGAGAGTGGGAATGGCCAAGCAACTCCTCCATGTGACAAAACGCTCCTATTGTTCCCCTTATAACAATTCCCAAATTCAGCAAAAAGCAGATGAAAACTTTTAGCAGATCTTCTTCTCTTCCTTCTTCTCCTCCATCCTTAATCCTTTCCTGGCCCAGGAAAAAAAAATCTGTCCAAGACAAACTGTAATTGGGATCAGAATTTCTGCTGCTAAGTGAGGAAATTATTAAATGAGTCACAGCCAATGTTATGACCTTTTTTGGGGGGAGGCACACATGTTAAGTGACTCACTGCAATTGTTAAGCGAATCATTAAGCAAATACGGTTTCCCCCTCCATTTTCCTTTTTGGAAGTCAGCTGGGAAAGTCGCAAATGGGGATCACGTGATTCCAGGACACTTGCAAACATTGTAAACATACACTGACCAAATTCTGATCACATGACTGTGGGAATGATGCAATGGTCATTAAGTGCAAGGACCACTCATAAGTTACTTTTTTTTCAATGCTGTTGCTAACTTTGAATGCTGTTACACTGAGGGCTATCTGTAATCTAAATTGTAATCTAAATCTGTAATCTCCTATTCAGGGAGCACTGAGAATTACACAAGTAAGAATATATGATGGAAGCAATAATGTTAATAGAAGTTCTAAGAGTTACCAAGAAAGATGATTAGGGGACTGGAAGCTAAAACATATGAGGAACGGTTGCTGGAATTGGGTATGTCTAGTCTAATGAAGAGAAGGACGAGGGGGGAGATGATAGCAATGTTCCAATATCTCAGGGGCTGCCACAAAGAAGAGGGAGTCAAGCTATTCTCCAAAGCGCCTGAAGGCAGGACAAGAAGCAACGGATGGAAACTAATCAAGGAGAGAAGCAACCTAGAACTAAGGAGAAACTTCCTGACAGTTAGAACAATTAACCAGTGGAACAACCTGCCTCCAGAAGCGGTGAATGCTCCAACACTGGAAGTCTTTAAAAAGAGACTGGACAGCCATTTGTCCGAAATGGTGTAGGGTTCCTGCCTGGGCAGGGGGTTGGACTCGATGACCTCCAAGGTCCCTTCCAACTTTATTATTATTATCATCATCATCATCATCATCATCATCATCATCATCATCATCATCATCATCATCATCATCATCATCATCATCATCATCATTATTATTATTATTATTATTATTATTATCCCTTTTCCCTTTGATCAAAATCTTACAGGGTCCATAGTGAAACAAGCTCTGTCCCAGTCCATGGAGGAACCCAGTTTCTTCAGCTGATGGTAGATCCGATCCCCTTTCCTGCAATGGAGAAAGAAGGAAGTGTACTGACTGAGAAGTACCGCTGAAAAGGCACAAGACCGATATTATAACTTCCTGAATAAGTAACTGCATGCCCGAATTGCACGATACAAAATGGGAGGGGGAAAGAGGGACACCCAAGAAGCTTTTTTTCTCCAGTTGCCTCTCCTTGATTGTAGGTATGGGTGGCTCCTAGTGGACAACCCCATGCAGATCCTTGTCACTTCTGTGAGTGTCTTTTTCAGGTAATATGCATCTATTCTACATGGTCTAGCAGGGACATGATGTATTGGTTGCCAACCCATGAGATGCTGAGGGTCAGGAGCCAGAGAACGGTAGTCTACCTAACAGTGCCCTCACTCTGGGAGCAGGAAGTCAGGTGGATCTCTACCATTTGGTCCTGGGACCAAGAAACTGGTGAAGATAGTCTTCTCCATCAGACTAAGGACAGGAAGATTATTGGGACAGCAGTAGATTCTACTTTAATGCTGAGTTGTTTCTAGAGATGTTTTGAACACCATACCCTGAAAGCTATTTGAGTATTGCAGGATTAGGTAAAATACAAATAATGGTAATACATAAATCGTTATCAAGTAGCACAGGGGCAAGCATTTCTCCAGATCCAATTTTATTTTATTTCTCTATCAATCTCATCTCCCTCCCTCCCTCTCTCTCCTTCCTCCTTTTCTTTTTTTTCTTTTTTTCTTTTCTTTTCTCATCAGCTATCAAATGTGTGTGCTGCCCATCTTTCCAAAGATGCTTGAAAAAAGAGACGCAGGAAAAAGACTCACTCATTTTTCCATTTCCAGACTTCCTCGATGAACGGCTCACGGCCGAGGTCATGCCGTGTTTTCCCTTGCTCCTTCCAAAGCCTTTTCTCCACCACCACCTGGGTGGCAATGCCCGCGTGGTCGCAGCCAGGATTCCACAAGGTGGTCTCCCCCCTCATTCTGTGCCTGCAAGACAAGCATAGGAGCAGGAAACTCGCTAGACCGAGGGTCTTGGACACGGCACCCTTATCGGCAGCCCCATGGAATCAAATCATACAGATAGATAGATAGATAGATAGATAGATAGATAGATAGATAGATAGATAGATAGATAGATAGATAGATAGATAGATAGACAGATAGACAGACAGACAGACAGACAACCTTTGTCATTTTTTTTACTGTGGGCACAATGGCACACATTAAAAATGAAATGTAGTTGCTTGTTCTCAAAGTGTACACATACACAACACACATTTAAACATACTATATACAACATATCTAGAGACCTACAGCCTTACATATAAGTAACATATAAATATTAATCACTGTCCATCTTGAATACATAACGGAAGGAGGAAGCTTTAGAGTTCACAAGGTTAATACTGTATGGCACAAAACTGTGACCGAATCTGGATGTTCTGCTTCGGATACCACGGAGCCTCCTCCCAGAAGGTAACAAGGAAAACAGGTCGTGAAGAGGATGTGTAACGTCCCAGACAATCCTGCGGGCCCTGCTCAAGCATTGCTTATTTGCTACGTCCTGGATGGAAGGGAGGGAATTGCCAATGATCTATCTCTTCAGTCATCCTCACCACTCTCTGCACCATCTTCCTGTCTGAAGCAGTGGCCAAATAATGGCCAAATAATTCCAGAGAAAATAAGAGGATTTAGAAATGGGTTCCCAGACTGATAAAGATTCAGGACAGCATTATGTTGAGTTGAGGCTGGAGAGTTTTTATCTTGTACTGTGCTAAAAAGAGTTGGACGTCAATGCCTTTTTTTTCTCTTGTACCTCACATCTTCTTTTCCCCTCTCCTTTTCCTTCCTTTAATTTCCTATTTCTATTTTTCTTTGTATTTTATATATTAAATAAATACTAATAATACAGCATTATGTACAGGTAGTCCTCAACTTATGAGCCCAACTGGGACCAACATTTTGGTTGTAAGTCGTGATGGTTCTAAGTCGAGACACGTGACCAGACACAATTTTATGACTGTTTTTACAGTAGTTGTTAGCTAATCACATGATTGTAAGTCCAAATCCATTCTCGAAAATGGTGATATATATATATATTTTGCAAACTGGCAAAAAACATTGGAAGCTGGCAAAAAATGTCACAAACCAGTCAAGTGACCACAGGACGCTGCCACCTGTCATAAATATGAGCCATTTGCCAAGCGCCTGAAATGTGATCATGTGGCTGCAGAATGGGGAATAATTTTACGATGGCTGGAAATGCTGTGACTGGATGTAAAATGCCCTTTCTGAGGCTGTTGCAACTCCAACTGGTCGTTAAATGACCGGTCGTTAAGTTGAGGACTACCTGTAAACAGCTTGCTTCAAACTCCTCCATGTTTAAAGCAAAGACCCCCTTCCTCACCAGATCATAAGGAATTGTTAGAATCAGAAATTATTCATCATCAATGTACATTGTATAAGATCAGGGGTCTTCAAACTTGGCAACTTTAATGACTTGTGGACTTCAACTTCCAGAATTCCCCAAGTCAGCATGGCTGGGTGAGGAATTCTGAGAGTTAAAGTTCACAAGTCTTAAAGTTGCCAAGGTTGAACAAGAGTAAATAGAAAACAGTACTGCTACTATACTTCTTGTAACCCCCTCTATTCATCCTGATTGATTTCACCAAAGAGAACCCTACAAGAACTGTGCTTGAAAAAGATATATTTAGTCTAAGGAGCTCCTGAAAATCTAGTAGAAGATGGAGAAGGCCCAAGATTAACCCAGAGGACTGGCTGCGCCCAGAAAGGCAGAGAGATCTCACCATCTTGTCAGAGAGTCCTGGATGGAGTTGGTGAGGGCATGGCCAAGATGTAGCGAACCGGTAACATTGGGTGGAGGAATACACATCATGAAGATGCCTTTGGGGTTTGGCTCGGAGATGCTGTGACACTGGGAAAGAAAAGAAAAGATCATTTAGAGGCGAGATTTGGCTTTGCAGTCATTGATTGCAAAGAGAGAATTATCTTGCCAAGAGGAAAGTCACCCCATGGGATCAGGGGCAGGCATTAACAGAAACACGGAAAAGGACAACAGAAAAGGACCTAGTGGTCTATCGAGTCTGCCCTTGGGAGTTTTTATTATATTTTTAAATTTTTGCTGGATGATGGGCATGCATTTATCCCAAGCATGTTTACACTAGCACAGGGGTAGGCAACCGTGGCTCTTTTATGACTCGTGGACTTCAACTCCCAGAATTCCTGAGCCAGCATGGCTCAGCTTGGAAACCTTTCTCTTTCTCCTCAGCATGGCTGGCTCAGGAATTCTGGGAGTTGAAGTCCACGAGTCATAAAAGAGCCAAGATTGCCTACCCCTGCACTAGAACATTAAAAATGGGCAGAATCACAAGAGATATGCTGAACACTTGCAAGATTTTACTATGTGATGGGACAAGAGGGATCTTCTAGACCAGGGTTTACCGAACTGTGAGGAGAACCTCCCTTAGGAAAGTAAGACAAAGTCCAGGGGAAGTGTGAAGTACTTTTAGTTGTATATTATTATAATAACTCTGTCAGACCCAGAACCAAGAATAACAAGTGGTGATTCTTCCAAGGCGAGTCCTTTACTGTTTTCCCACCAACAGACCAAAACTTGCCAAACTAAAGATTCTACTACCTGACTACATGTACTGAATAATGTTAGGTTGCAGTAGGTGTAAGAACTGCTACGTGGTGGAACAGAGCTTTAGTACAGTGGTGGAATCCCCCACAAACACTAGAAGTGCTAACATGAGGGCCGGATAACTAGCTGTCAGGAATGGTTTAGGAGATCCCTATAATGATCAGGACTTTAGATTAGATGGCCTCAAAAGAACCCTCTGACTCATATATTTTGTGATGCTCAGATATTTCTAAGATCCCCATTTGGGCAATTGCTGTCGGGTGCAAAGAATCAGGGCATTACATTAAGTTGCAATTCAGAAGATTTATTACTCAAACCTATACACAATCTGGTCAACTAAAGTTCAACACTGATTTGGCATCAGGTAAGAATTCAAGAGGGGTTGGGCTTAGACCTTTTGTGGGAACGTAAGGACTCTAGGCTAATGACTTGTTTAACTCTGCCCCCCAGCTCTGCCTGCTCTTCTACAATTTCAACTGAAATTTAACATAAGAATACTGCCTACATGCAAAGCATTATGTTCTGGCTGGTGCTCATGGGAAGCCCTAATGAACCTTAGCTCATCTCTGTAATAAATGTCCAAGCCATGTGGGCAAAGTAATTCATGAAGAGATCTCAGGTTACAGCAATTCCAGCCCATACTTACGCCATACTCTGGTTTAAAGAAACCTTGGCTCTCCCACCATGAGTACCAAGCTGCTTCGACATATTGTGGGCTGTAAGAGTCAGGCATTGGACCCGTCACATCTAGAAAGCAAAAAACATTCTGAGCTCAAGACAGATAAGGTTTATGCTCCCATCGTTCATTGTGAGGCACCATGAAGTATAATCCAAAACATTTGGGGAACATCAGGGTCAAAAGAAGAGAAGGGGAAAGGATCTCATGCAGAAGACAGCAAAGGATTTTGCCACAGGTTTGGAGAATGGCTGTCATCTACTACAAGCCTCATCACCCTTTTGGTCCAATAACCATGGTTATAAAGCATTCTGAATCTGAAATGTTTGAAACCAGCTACAGGTAGTCCTTGACTTACAATCTTTCATTTAGTGACAATTCGAAGTTATAATGGCACTGAAAAATATGACTTATCACCATTTCTCACACTTATGACTGTTGCACCATCCTCGTGGTGAGGTGATCGAAATTCAGATGTTTGCCAACTGGCTCATATTTATGATGGTTGCAGTTGTCCCGAGGTCATGTGATCCCCTTTTGCGACCTTCTGACAAGCAAAGCCAGATTCACTTAACAACCGTGTTACTAACTTAACAACTGCAGCGATTCACTTAACAACTGTGGCAAGAAAGGTCGTGAAATGGGGAAAAACTCACTTAACTCTCTCACTTAGCAAAATAAATTTTGGGCTCAATTGTGGTCGTAAGTCGAGGACTACCTACAGTCTGACCTTCTATGAAGTGTTTTGACCATTCTGGAAATAGTCCAACCTTGAAATGCCCCTGATTTGAATTGAAATTAATTATTTCAAACTTATGTTTTGATTTTGGGACACTCCTGAAAGAATTGGAAAAGCAGTGGAATATATACAATAAGGATGGACCAGCTGTTCCAAGTACAAAACTGAGCATTTAAATTTTGTCCACCTCTACAGCAGCCTCCCTGCTCTAGAAGGGCAGAGGATCAATTCGTGAAATAATCATGCAAACCTGGATTTAAACATCAGTTTTTTTTCTCCCCATGTCTCATTTCTCTTTACTTTTTTTTAACACTGTCCCCCCTCAATATAGGTCTACTTTGCAGCTCTGAAATCTAAACAGGCATTGTGCAACACAATGTTGCCATGTGGAATGCTTCTCTTCACTGTTCTAGCCAGTGAATACTTTCCTAGGATATTTTATATTATTTTCACCATTTCTTTTTCCTTTGGCTTAATCCAACGGTCAGTTGACCTTCCATGTCCAGGAAAACACTCTTCTTTTCTCTAAAGAACTGTTGTGTGTCTGAACACCTTAAGGTTTGGCTAGGTGTAGCAATGCAGACTACCATTCTGACGACAGGTAATCCTCCACTTATGACTGTAATGGAACCCGGTATTTCCATCATAAATTGCGACAGTCGTAAGTCGAGGAACCCATGTGATCCACCCAATTTCATGATCTTTTTTTTAAGTGATCATAAAATGAATGTAAACCGTCGTAAAGCGAGTCCATTCATTCTTATGGCCGTTTTTTGCTGGAAACGAGCCAAAAAGGCTGGAAACTGCCCCCTCCCCCCAAAAAACCGTTATAAATCATAATTACGTGATTGTGGAACTGTAAAAGTGAGATGGTTGCCAAGCAACTGACATGCGGTCATGCGACCATGAAGGGAGGGAGTGCTGCCATCGGAACTCTGGAACCAGGTCATTCAGGTTCCTTTTGGGGAGTCCATCATAACTTGAAATGATCCACTAAGTGAACGGTCCTTAAATGAGGACTACCTATACAACACAATCAACTTTTGGAAGTTGAAAGTCACATGGAAGGGAGAATATTTGTAGCTCAGGGTTGAAATGCTCTCTGAGCTCTGGTGCTCTCTGAGCTTGCTTGTTTTTTTGCAGACATTTCGTTACCCTAACTCAGGGGTAGGCAGCCTTGGCTCTTTTATGACTTGTGGACTTCAACTCCCAGAATTCCTGAGCCAGCCATGCTGAGGGGAAAGGGAGAGGTTTCCAAGCTGAGCCATGCTGGCTCAGGAATTCTGGGAGTTGAAGTCCACCAGTCATAAAAGAGCCAAGGTGCCTACCCCTACCCTAACTAGATCATCAGTGCTAGTAAGGAGTGCAGTTTGCTGTTTGTTTATATTCAGGAAAGACACTAGAACAGTGGTTCTCAACCTTTTTAATGCCGCGACCCCCAACCGGTCGTAAGTCGAGGACTAAACCGGTCGTAAGTCGAGGACTAAACCGGTCGTAAGTCGAGGACTATCCAACTGGTCGTAAGTCGAGGACTTTCCCTGCCCGGGAGCACCGCGCATGCGTGGTTCCGCCCCCTGCGCCGGCCGAGGCGTAGCTGGCAAGCGGCAGAGACGGAGCAGGCCGACCACCAGCTGGCCCAGCTCAAGGGAGGTAAGGCCCCCCCCGGAAAAGGGGGGAAAAATGGCGGACAGCCTTGCTTGGCGACCCCCGTGAAATGGTCGATCGACCCCAAATGGGGTCGCGACCATAGGTTGAGAACCGCTGCACTAGAATATAAACAGAAAGCAAACTGAACTCTTTAGTAACACTGATGATGTTACCTAGTTAGGGTAATGAAACGTCTGCAAGAAAACAAGCAAGCTCAGAAAGTCACATTGTTACCAAGTGGAATTTGTTCAGCTCTAACTATTTTGAGCATATAATTCCAAGAAAGGTTATTTGATTAGTTCAGAGTTGTTTCCCCCAAAGAGTGAAGGGCAAATTCTCCAATCCCTTATCTGCAATAACTTACCTTTTTTCTCCCCTTGTTTGGTAGGGACATCATAGGTGATGATCCCGAGATCCTTCTTGTCTTTCTTCTCAGCTTTTGGCTTCTTCTATAAAGAATCAGGATGTTACATCACATTAAAGCATAGCAATCTGACAAGAAAACGACATGAGACAAAAAAACAACAACCAGGTGGAAAAGAACATCAGTTAAGCTACAATTTCTCTAACAGAATTTGATCCACGAGAATGAGAATTTATTGCAAAATAAATACCCAGACAGAGAGACCGGCAGGCAGCACTGAAAGATCAAACAATATTCTGGTGTGATTTTTTTTCCCCCAGGCACATTATCTTAAGAAAATTATTTATATGATACAATATACACTTCCTTTTCTTAAATATCATTTGGGAAAAATATTCTTCAAATTCCATTATTATTCAGCTGTAGTATTTCTCTAGGGGTGGGAAATACAATCTACAACCTCTAAAATCCTACTAAAATGACCTGAAACAGTTAAATATTAAATAAAGGTAGTCCTTGACTTACAACTGCAGTTGAGCCGAGAATTTCTGTTGTTAAGTGAGACATTTGTTAAGTGAGTTTTGCCCCATTTTACTAACTTTCTTGCCACAGTTGTTAAGTGAATCACTGCAGCTGTTAAGTTAGTAACACGGTTACTAACTAACTTGTGGTCATAAGTCAAGGACTATCTGTATTGTCCCAATCCTTGGGGGAAAAAACAATTCCTTCATCTCTGCTGCAGAAAGTCAAAAAGCACTTCATCTATTCTCCTTCCCATATTATAATACACTATCCAATACTATGTCAGATAAATGGGAATGGCTATTACCATTATATGCTACATGGACAAAGCTGGTTATTGATCTAGCACAGGGATCTTCAAACTTGGCCCTTTTATGACATGTGGACTTCAACTCCCAGAATTCCTCAGCCAGCATGTCTGGCTGAGGAATTCTGGGAGTTGAAGTCCACACGTCATAAAAGGGCCAAGTTTGAAGACTCCTGATCTAGCACAATCGTTCTCTACCTTGGCAGCTTAAAGATGAGTGGACTTCAACTCCCAGAATTCCCCAGCCAATTTTGGGAATTGAAACCCACACTTCAAGCTGACACACACACAAGCTAAAATGGTTGAGTTACTTTTTTTGCGGGTGCAGGCCTATTTAACTCTGTTCTCCTTCTACAACGCCTACCTCTCCCTGTTGCTGCAGACTCTTTTCCTTCTTCTGAAGAAACTTGTCCATTTTTTCTTTCTTTTTGGCCTCCTTCTTCAGCTGTGACTCGCTTTTGGGAGGGGGCTCCTGTATCTGCTTCTTCTCCAGCAACTCAGCTTCAGAGGAA